AAAAAATAATGCATGTTGCTGAAAAAGACCTTAATACATGTTCTGTGTCTTCTGGGAAGGTGGGAACAGAAAGCAACTGGGGCTGTGGGAAAGATTTTCCTGTTTCATTTCTGTTCATTCTTGACAAATTAAGTGTAGGCCGCCTAAATCAAAGGGAAGCTGAATGTCACTCACACATATTACCCGAGAGAGCCTGTGGAAAAGCAAACATTTGTTATGGAAAACTGCGGGGAGCAGAATGTCTTGAGAGATATATTTTTCTAATCTTTCTTTCAGTGGTATGATGTAAGATTTAGGTGGTTGTGACAAGAGAGTATCGTGGAGCAATATTCACATCAGTAATGAAAGGACGGTAAAAAAGAAGGCTATTTGTAACTTGCTAATTATTTATTTGCAGTGAAGGAACAACCACAAAACAACAAAACAAAACCAGTAGACAATGGCCTGAGAAGTCAATGGTAGAAATGTTATGGGGGAGGGGATATGGCTAGTGTGGGTAGATTCCTGAACCATAACACAGTCGCTGCTAATGAGGGCTCTGGGGAGTAAAAGAGAGATGGGGCTTGTTCATCAGTTTCCATATTATGCTTATCATCAAGGGTCACATTCACAGGCTGCAGTGTGCCATACTACCACAGTGGCACTGATTCTTAATCCTCCCCTTCTTTACTCTCTTTTATATGGATGTTTTGGACCTAAGATGGATCTGAAGAACTAATACATGAATTTTTTTATTTTACATTATCTTTCAATACTTTTGGCATTTCCCCAAGAGGCTCAAATAAACATAGTCACAGTCAAGCTGTTGTTGGCTGATGTTCTTTTAAAGGTGTGTCATTGAACAGAATAATGTGGTATAACAGTGTGGTGAACTTCTACAACCAAAGATTCAGAATGATCAAAACTTTATGAAAGTGAGGAGGGGTGATGGAGAGCTCAGAGTGACGCAGAGCGGTGTAACTTGTTTGTGTTTGCTCCTCAAACTCTCTCAGCAGCTGTGCTACATGTGACACTTTTTAACCAGACGCTGGTACAACCTCCACTGGTGTTCGCTGTGACTCACTCCTCAGCTGCCGGTGCTGCTAGAAGCCATGCAGGGGAGACTGTCTGTGATGTGGAAGGGTTTTGTGACTGAACTTAGACAACAATGATTATGTTTTATTGTTGTGTGGAAAGGATGACTAACAAAATGCATAAAACTTTAAGTCTTAAAAGTAAAAGAACAGAGTATTCGTATTAAAACAGTAGGATGTTTTAAGTGAGGGAAAATAATCTGAAGGGTAAATATAACGGTAAATGATTCTCATAATTGTGCTAAGGTATGTTGAGGAAAAAACATAAATGATTTCAATAATCAAGAACGTAACTACACTACATTCAAATCTTTACATATATGGCAACTCAGAGAAAGAGAGAGAGAGAGAGATTTTTTCAGTGCTGACATCCTGACATTCTACTCTGAATCTAAAATCCTTCAGTCTGTTGCTAGTCGCAGCCAAAGACTGTAAATAAAGATGGATGACACGTCTCCACTTTCTGCCACTCTACAAGGGAAGACAAAATATGTGATAAAGTAGTGCTGCATTGCACTGGTGTCTTTTTAGAGGCGATTGTGGATTTTCTTTAATGTTGCCCCATCACAAGTGCTTGACCAACTGATTTTATAGCATGAAATAACTAATTAACACCAAACATACATCATAAAATGATGCAAATCAGCTTTGGCATAAGCAAACACAATAACACTTGTTCACTGATGGCTTCCCTCTTCTCTCCTATAATTTTTTTTGTTTATTGTATTTTTATATCATTGTGGACACATCCTATGTCCTATCTTCATGGGTCGCTAAAGTGCCTCCATTGGTAGAATAGAGCCCACCTGAGTACACATTTGTCACTTGGGAAGATACTGAACAGCTGTATGGTTATTTATTGTTGGAAACCAGATCAAGTATCAAGAAAAAAATAACCTAATTCAACTTTTCTGTTCAGTATGTAGGTTATGAAGTGAATACATCCTTACAGAAGTCACATCCTATACAGTATTGCTAATGCTTTCAACATCCCTCACATATTCATTGATCTTTTGCCTATTCCACTCTATCACTCTAGTAGGGAAGTACTTTATCTGCAAGTTTTTCTCAAGGTGACCTCATCTTCATCTGTCTTTCTTCCTCTCCTTCGATCTTCTGAGAGCCACTCAGCCAAAGAGATGTGGGCTTCCTTTCATGGCACCCTGTTGAATCAGACTTATTGGTAAATTAGATTAGCGCAGCCTGCTCCACAAAGTCAGCATGGATTTAGTCTTCCTTTCTTCCCCATTACCTCTGACTGCATGAGAGACAATCTCCTCCATATGTGGCAGAGTAGAATGGAGGAGATGTCAGCTTCCATCGGGTACATTTCCATCAACACAGGTTCAGACCGAGGTTTGACTTGCCTGATGCGTGTAACATTAAAAAGACAATTCATCGCTTTGATCGCTTCAATTGCTTGCTGAGCTCAGGGCCAACTGGTTTCACTTCAGCTTCACAGATGTTTGAGGTTTGCAGAATGATTTTGAACAGCATAAAATAAGGTGCTTCCTTCCTGCTTCCCTACAAGGCCTCTCTTGACATGACTTTGATATTTCCCCAAAAATGATGTTCCTGTTCCTGGAATGTGCCTTAGTCTCTCCTGTCGTACTGCAGCTACTGTAATGGTAGCTCATTGGAAACCTTCAGACTAAATTTGCTATTTGTCATTCCATAGAAAACAGCCTGACCTTTTTTCTAATTTGGTACTCCCATTGGCAGGGAAATATCATGTATCAGTATCTTTCAAAACAATCCATTGGAGTTTTACAAATATAACCTTTCTGATTCACCAAGGTAGGCAAGTAAAAATAAGAATTAATGAAATCACGGTCAGATTTTTGATGATCATGAGATGTGCAGTGCATTCCTACCCACTGACATACCTGACAGCATTTTCCTTTTCATTGGAATGGGAAAAGATATGACAAAGACAGCCACACTTTTTTACACTCAGTGTTTTTAATCACCAAGCACTAGAGTCAACTCATGTGGTGCTCCACTAACAAAAGACACCATGGAAGCCATCACTTAATGCCAGACACTTGAATAGCTTTCTCCAGTATCCATCACATGGGTGTCTTCTATTACCCCTGTCAGGGTTCCATATGTCCCCCATCACCACCGCGGCCCCTCTCCCCCAGCCATGTGGCATCCCTCAGGGTTTCTCCTGACTGGCCTTTTATTGATCTCTTGTTGTCCCTCTGATGAAAACGGGTCTGTGTTTTCCCTGGGGTCCCTGGCGTGTCATTCGACTTATCAGTTGCCATTCTTCCTCTCCTTTACAATGAGATTTTCAGATATGGTCGTTCAGCGACATGGGCTGGAATGGAATGGCATGGAACGGAAAGATGGGGGTGGATGGAGAGTGAAGACAGCCTGCAGATCTTGATCAATATGGAACACATCAGCAGCTTAACAGCTCCAGCCCTCTAAAAGCAAGTCCTTGAGAAGACCTTAAATCTAAACCAGTATGAATACTCACATGGCAGCTATTTAGGACTATTTGCATTGCGGAATTAAATTATTCTACAACTCTCTGTTTATTTAGTTTGTCTCAGCAAATTAAAACAAACAGTCATTGATCACTTAACGAGGTGACTAATTATGATGATGTATATTGAAAAGGAAAGAGAACTGCATTAAGAAGTCTCCCATTTTTTAAGATTTCCCCATTTTCATTAAATTTTTAGGCTATGAGGTGTGGCAAGACAAGGATAAAGTGTTGGAGCAGACAGCATTATAATGTTGGGTGTGTTTGGATCCAGAGTAGGACAACTTGTTTACAGCATAGCTGCGATCCAGGAATCATGGGTTCAAGGGACACATCAGTCTGAATCCAGTTTCCTATTCTTAACGCTCTTTTGTTGTTCGTCAAAAATAATTCTTAACCCCTTAGACCTTATCAGAAATTAGTCTTTTTTACAGTTGTCCTTTTTGGTATGGGCTTGCAACACATTATAACATGACTAGGCAACATTAACCGATACAGACATGACACTGTAATCCATCTTCTCATCTTACTGGTTCAGACATTTCCTACAATTATGTCTTTACAACATGAGGAAATTAAGCTACATTTAGTTTTAGCTGTAAAAATATTAACATGTATTTACATATTTAAACATGCATTTACTCCACTAAAAGCTCACTTATTTGACTCGCTGAACTATCCCAGTGGCATATAGTAAAGTATTAATGTCCAGTGATGCACTATTATGTATTAAACGTATGAAAATGTTTCCAAGGGGTTGACATTTTATCAGTATTGCACACCAACACATATTAGACAATATATTCTTTTAGCTTTTCTACCCTCAAACATGCAGATTATGAGTATATATCTATTTCCAGGTACCAGTAAATATAATACAAGGTGTACATTGTTTCCTGTGAGGAGTAATGCACAGTATTGTCTCACTATCATAACAAACTCTCATCACACAACCTGTCTTTGGTGCAATAAAGAGCTCTCTGATGATTTTTCAGCTCGCTTTGCTTTTGTCTCAACTTCAAAACATGTGGTCAGTGTTATACAGGTGAAGTTGAGATATTATTGAAATGAGGACCAAGGAATTCAGTGATATATTTCCAAATATCAGTGAGCTCATTAGTTGTGTGAGAAGGAGGCAAGACTCGAAGGACAGATGTTCCTTCTGAATATGTATCAACATGACACAACCTGAGGGAACACACACACACACATATGTACTTGGGTTAGACTGTTTGCCTCATCAACATTTTACATTTGTTTAACTTTAATGCTAATAATGCACCTTTGTGAAAGAAAGAAGCACAAAAACGTCCCTCATTAAATATTCAGCCTTTTTGTGGACTTATCGATTGGAACATGACGCACGTTTAGCCTTGATTTGTCTTTTGTTTTATATACATTTTGTTAAACACTTTTTTTGTTGCATCATGCAGGTACGTATGTGGAAAGACAACTCTGCCGTGATGCCATCCTGCCCATGCCTGTCGTCTGCGAGGTGCCTTGCCCAAAGGACTGTGTCCTGAGCCCCTGGACCCCCTGGTCTCTCTGCTCCCATACCTGCTCTGGAAAAAACACGGAGGGAAAGCAGACCAGAGCTCGCTCCATCCTCGCCTATAACGCTGGAGAAGGTAGGAAGTCTCTGAAGCAGGAGAACAAAACCGCATCCGGGGTATTGTTGTTGGTTGGGTCAGACAGATACATGGTTGCAACTCACATGGAACTTTGAATTACTTAGAAATCAGTCAGTACCACTTAATACAGATAATAATGCTAAACCTGACAAAGTAAATCCATTAATATCAGTGTCTGCCTTCACAAACAAACCATAATTCTACATGAGTGCAAGTATTGCAAGTTTCCCAATTTGTACTGCATATCTTACTCAGCTCTTCTCCTTACACACCACAAGTAAAATGTCAAAGTTTGTTGTTTTGTGTTCCTCTACAGCAACTGCAAAGGTTGTGGCGTGGGTTACTGTGATGCAGGGTAAGAAGTGAGTGGAGGGATAAAAAGCCCACAGAACTGTCACAAGACTGAAGCACAATGTTTCCATCACAATGTCAAACTGTGTTGTACAAAATCTTCTTGCCTTTTAAAAAATTCACAGGGATTTTGCGTTTAATTCTGTTCAAGGTCCTTCCCTGCTGTCGTTGGTGCGTCCAATCTTCGGTATATATATATCTATATATATATATTTGATGTTCTTAGGTGGCAGCAAGAGATTTTTTGCTGATGTAGTGTGTAGACTTCATGACTTGAAATGTAGCTACTTTTATGTCATCTCTTCCTGCCCAGCAAAATCCCTGTGCTTTTAGAATAGAAGAAAAATAGAATAAATAATAGATTAAATAGAATGAAAAACAGAATAGAGTAAAAAAAAGTAGTAACAGTAGTATTGAGTATTCCTTAGCAATATTTGTTTTAAATCCCAAGGTAAGTGGTGAATATCTAAATGGTGCTGGAATTATGCCGAAGCAAATGTTAAAGCCCAGCCCCCCCAAGCTGTCAATCACACTGTGAGTGACCCATTCTCACCAAACCTCGTTAAGAGGAAACATGAGAGGCTGCGCAGATGGTTTAAGCATCTGGCTTGGCAGCAGATCGTAATTTTATGTTTTACGCCCCTGTTATCATTTTAACAGCTCGTGACGTGTGACTTCTGGACCACATTGCGTGGCATGCTGTCTTTGACACACTTGCAACAAAGTAGCATCCACGCTGGAGCGAGGGGACATGGATCTCACACGATGCTGTGTGCTGTGTGCCACGCCTTGTTTAGCTGCTTTCTTAGCATTCAAAAGGCAGATATCGCTGGAGTGCTAGATGGATGGGCAGGGCCAGAGTAAAGAGCCAGGCGTTTGATATGGAATGTGCTGAATGAAGCTGAGAAAGGTTTGGAAAGGGCATCATTATTATGGAAGGGTCACACAGTTGAGTAGAGAGTAGCAGAGCATAAGGCAACTACTTCTCTGACAGAAATGTTAATATATCTCCAGTTTGTGGTTGATTGCATTAAAGCTGTTATTAAGTCCATCATCATCAAAGTAGGGAAAAGGTCAAAGTCACAGTCTGAACTTTTATCAATGGAGACCAGGAATGGTCATGCTTTTTATATGCACACCTGTGCTATAATATGGTTTTTACAAAACCTTTGAAAAAGATTGTAAAAGGGAAAAAGCCTCCATCACTCATGATGCCTTTTTACCCATTAGTTTAGTTGCTGAGAAACTGTTAATCTATCTTTTCATGAAAAAATTAGGGTCAGCAATACAGTACCTGCTCACGTTGATTATTTTCGAATTCATGTATCATTTACTGTATATCTTCTGTAAATTACTGCACTGCCATCATGAGACATTGACATTCTCATGTCTGTATATTTGGCATAGAGCTGGAACTAAGTTAAACCAGCAACACTGGAACTGATGAAAAACTATTTACACTAAACTAATGAAGCATCTAATAAAAACAGGATTCTCTGCACACCTTCCAGCGAATGGCAGCTGCCGTTGGTGCAGATGTATCATCATTGGATAATTGGTTCACCAGGGTTTCAAATCTATTGGACAATGAATCCAAGGACGGGAGTTGCCATGGTCTGTTTACCAGTGTCAATTATACCTCCCATAACAGGACAAATGAAGTCATTAATTTCTGCCAGACGCCTGACATAATGTGAGAAACAAAACAGACCAGCACACGCTTGTCTTAAAGTCACAAGTATAAAAGTACAGAAGTGCACAAGTCAGAGGAAACGTGAGAAATGTGTTTCTTATTTTGTACCAAAGAGCTTCAGAGTGTGAATGCAATAATCCTCTCTGCAGAGCAGTGAGCTCATGATGTCAGCACCTCTAGGAGAGGGTGAGAACTTTAATGATGTTGAGCTGAGGTAAGCCCAAACATAATGG